ATATAGTAGACCAAAAAATAGATGATTTGCAAAGGTGATAATTAGAACTAAACTCACACAAAACTAAGAATTGCTTCCAAAACATTTTTCACTTCATTAAAGTTCGGTCTTATGATCCCATACACCAGTTATATACTTAAATACTAAACAAAATCTTGCAACAATTTTTCAATAAATTACGTAATTTTTAATAATGTCAATTATTTACAACTAATTCAAATTAGTATGTAGCCGTTTCTTTAATTAATTATTTGTTATGCTAATGAGAAGTATATTTACTTTCAACGGAATCAATATTTTCAACTTGGCTCCCATCCCTCTTGAACTTCTCGGATTTGTATAAAATCGCAATACAAGTAGCCGTAAATGTCACAATAGACTTGAAAATAATTAGCACGCTTTCACTTGAACAAGTTGCTTCTTCTAATTTTTGTTTAAAAAGTTCTGTAGACTAATACAATGGTACTTTCGATTCACAAAATCTTTTCTTAATTCTCCTCAGATTTTAAAAACCTTAGAAACACGCTCGCTTTTCAGTTACTATCTTTTTTGACCCATTATGTTCATTTTGCTAAAAAGCAAATCTTTTTATTTTTTCAGTACCTGGGCTTCTTAAAGCACTTGAGAAAGAAATCTATTTGATTTTTGCATGTCCCAAGGTCAAATTTCTCAGTAGTTTCTTGCGTATAAACTCACGATTGCTATTAGGTCGATTACCGATTTCCATGTGAACGAATTGATACTTTTTACTGCTCCTCGCTAAAAGTTAATTTAACGGCTTCTTCAAGATGTAAGAAAAACGTGAGGTACAGTGAATGGTCCTCTAGTACAATAGGTTCAAGTACGCGAAAATCACTGTTTTAAAACTTTTATTGCCAACTGTTACATACAGTGCTCCAAAACTGGGAAACGTATTATCGTAACAAAGGAAAAAGCGATTATACATAGGTATTTATGTAGCTACAGTATATAGTAATTGAAATAAAAGACAAAACAAAAGCAAGACAGTATTTATGAAGGAAAAGCGATGAGATTAAAGTAGCAAAAACGACATAAGTGATCGAAAAGAACCATCAATTACAGGAAGACCGTAAACTGGTAAAGAAGAGTTACCACTTCCTCAAAATTGTATTTCATCCCTTCAATTTTTGAGGTTTTAGTGAACTAGCTTAGGAAAGTTAGGTATAAATCTAGATCTCAGGATATGGCTAAACAAGGTCGCTTTTCCTCCGATCAGGTTCAACATGGTTTATAAGACAGAGTAAGCTATTACATTGCGATGCGCTTTTCATGACAATAAGCCAGCTCATTTAATTCCAATTTCAACTCAGCTTATTATCAATTTTTATCCTTCTCATAATTGAGGACCGTATGCTACTGGTATCTTCAAACAAGAAGTTAGTATTCTAAGCGAGTAAATGTTTGTAATTTCTACAAAAAAGTTTTAGTAACTTAAGTTTGAGCTACCAGGCTAACATTATCTACTCACCGAGTACAGTAAACTACCGATCCCAACTTTATTTCCTTCCAACCAAGCGCTTTTTCTCAGCAACAAAATAGATTGTGCTGTAATCATCATTTTATTCTGTTGCATCGTTCACTTGAAGAAACAGTTAGAAGTTTTATAGTTGAGTTGTTCTTCATGATATTACACAAAACTCAATATCATGAGATTATTTTAATAATCCTGACATCAGCAGTCGTATTTAGCTTGAGCTGCCTCATGTGTATTCTTCTACCGCGCATTTAGTCATAATCTGAACTGATCAGTAACCACTCCCTATCAGCTAATGAAAAGAGCTAAAACCAACAAGATACAACCTCGGACGGATGATAATAGCTACTCATTTCAACGAGGTTACACATAGTTTGTTCTCCAATTAGTACATCCTTTTTTTCTCAAATCCCGTGCTCACTAAGCTTGTTAACTCCCATACTGTGGCTACGCAAAAAAGTTTTCACTTTAAACCGTTGTATGCCAGTCCCTTCTGAAGTGGCAACAATTTTTACAATAAAAGTAAAGAACGAGAAAGCCATAATTTACCGTACTATACAACTTGGTCCCTGTGCTAACTGTCAAGAACTCATTCGGCTTCAAGACCTCCTGACAAGGGATGAGCATTTTTTGGGAAGCTTTAACGAGCACGGTAAGTACAATTTGCTGGCATGCAAGATCTTCTAAAAATTTAAAACGAATATTTGCGTATTCAGCTTTTGGTTCCTATTGCTCCGACAGTGTTATCCGTAAAATACCGAAATTGCCATTTCGCTTTTAATTAAAAAATGGGAGACCTTAATTGATGAAATGATTGACAAATCAACTTGCCACTCGCAGACTTTCATTCGCAGCACGTAAGGCGGCTGTATCTCAGTAAAGACATCCGATATGATTTGGTTTAAACTTTGTCTGCTTATCGAAGTGGATTTTTTTCGACTTTGTACACTTTACTTTGCTTCTAAGGAACCTGTTGCGTTCAATCGCTACTAACGGGCTTTATTAATTGCTGATTTTTAAACATTTAACTTTTGCAGACTCCAACACGTCTTAACTCGCTGTAAATAATTAGATTAGAGAAATGGGATGCTACTGTATTGGTTACAATCAGAAGGACGCTTCTCTTCAAACTGAGAAAACAACGCTATCGTAATCTGTCAGAAGAAGTGAAGAACAAAGTGATTCGTGATTGTATATGCAGGCGCAGAAGCCCCTCGAGACAGACTCAAATCACTTAGACGGTGGTACAGATGCGCTCACAGCCTAAAGTTTTCCAAATTGACAACCGTCTGGACGTAATAACACCTTCTGCTACTATAATAGTGAGGAGCTCTTTCAGTTCGATAGTCCCCTTTTCTTTTTTTTTTCAGTCAGTGATTCCAATGAAGACCAATTGTAACAAATGTGGTTTTTTTTTTTATTCCGACCAGTGAAGACGGTGTAGCCACCAAAGTGAAACGGGGCTAATCCTGATATATCCACTTTATTCAGCCTTTCACTGCCTTAACAACATTGTACGATTATGGTACTCAGAGCTTGTAAATCTTTTGTAGTTGGTAGGCAGGCACGTAATGTACATCTTGCAAAACCTAAAAAAAAGGATTTGCTTTCCTTCTCTTTTTTCAAGAGACCCTAACACCTTTTAAATATATTTAGTCGAAACTTCTAAAAAATCCCCAAGATGTAGCCTCAAATATAGCTCCTCACCGACAAAAATATCACCCGCAGTCAACAACTGTGGAAGTACCCATCGGCTGCTATTTTATTGAAAGTTTACAACTCTTTATAAATGAGTTTCTTTACGGACTGTCGGGATAACTTTACACTGGTAAACCTTTGTAGCGCAAGGCCAACCGATAAACGACAAAGATTGCGAATACAACTTAGATAAATCTAAAAAAGCTGTTTTTGAATTTTTGAATCTCTCTACTGTTCCCTACTATTTTTGATTACTTTGGCAACTGTTTTATAAGGTACTAAACACCTTTACATCCCCAATATTTCATTTGGATCGCTTAGCTCTCTCTTTCCTCGGGCTCTCTGATCCCTGTGCTATGAAATCTCAGTTTTTAATTTAGTTGCAGAGTTATAATCGAAACAAAAATGTGGAAAGCTCCATACAAAAACGGCAGAAATAGACAAAACCTGCGGGGATCCAACCGCTAAAAAAACAACTTCACTTTTCAGAATGGCGAATGCGATCTAGCTGCTACGCTACAGGGACTAACCGGTAAAAAATTTGGAATGGAGAAGTCATGCTATTCTGCTCTCCGTGAAATTCAAACAAATAAAGTTGAAGCCAGCTAATGAGGCTCTACACCAGCATTACAGAGTTGTCTACATTCATAAACTTCCCGGACAAAACTTCTCTCCTGGAACTTTACGACTCTTACTTCCTCACCCCTTTGAAGCGCAGGAATTCTGACGACACTTTCTACTTTTATGCAGCTCTAAACAGGCACTAAGCGCTGTCAATTGGTTTGTCGTCTACTTTTCTTAGCACTCATCTTTGCGTGATGCTGAAGCTTGTCAAGAAAAATGACCTCCCCGTCTTCATTCGACATCACAGTGCTCATCAATGGTGTTTACTGTCACCAGTATTGTTTTATACATCTTGTAACTCCTTCCATTTGGCATAGAGCATCAACAGTCACAAGTCATTAAAGAAGGTTTTAGCTATGGCAAAGATTAAGAAATTTCTGTTTCTTAAAAAAACAACTTCATATTTGACGCTGAGAGTTCCAATTAAAGCTCTACCGATCAAAAACTTAAAAGAACTGCAATCAAACAGTAAAAATGCCAGGCTCGACTTGAAATAGCCCTGAAATGTTTTAATCTTTTTAAGTATTAATTGCACGGAAATACTTCCCAAAGTTCCAATTGAAGATTTTTAATTTTATCCTTTACTGCACTCACTGGGCTGGATAAGAGTGAATGAACACTACCACTGAGCAAACTGAATTTCAAATTGTCTTCCGATACGCTCTCATCCTACTTCCTCAGTTCATCATTGCACAACACTCCCGCTGCTTATTAGGAGTATAGAGCCCTCAGAGTCTTTGCGAATAGAAGCTTAAACGTTCAAAATCCAAAAAACGATAGTTCACCATTACCATGACTATACAAAATAGCTCTCGATTTATTTATCCATTTCAGATTTAACACTTACTAACGTATATATAAGTTGAGCAGCAATATTAATTGTGCAACAATCACGCGCATTTAACAACACAACAAAAGAACTAAATTTTAGGAGACATTCTTCATTTCATTAGCTATTAAGCTCTTTCTCAAATAACTACCAGTGGAAAAATATAACTAACAAAAATTATTTTCCACTCTTCTGATTAATCTCCCAAATAAAATGACTGTAAATTATCTCGTAAAACAACATACTTCAGTATTTAACCTGCAATGCAAACAAATATCACCCGTTCAGAAGTACACTATGTTAGGCCATTTGACAGACTAATTCAGAACAGAAAGCACAACCACAATGAAGGCACTATTCAGGAGTTGGACTTGCCGGTGAATCCATGAAAAACTCTTTTCTTGATGGCAGAGGGTCATCTGGAGGAGACTTCTGCTGCTCAACAAATAATTTCCGTTCCCTCATGGTTTCATCAATTTTGTCGCTCATCTGATCTCGGCCACATCGCCTATCAGGAGACCTTATATGTGGTGGACTTTTTGATCTGAAACGAACGTAACACCTTCATAAAAAATAGGGCCGACAATTCAACATGTTACCACATATACTACCATCCGAGCAATAATAGCGTAAAGAGTACTTGCAACAATAAAGCAGAAATTTCGTTTTACTTCAGGCACTAAACACCTGAATGGTTGAAAACAAAAAGTGAATTCTAACCGTGATCGACTTCGACTTCTAGACCGTGACCGACTCCTATACCTTTGTCTTTCGTAACGTTCATAGCCTTTCCTATCTCTGTCATAATCTCTATCCCTGTCCCGGTACGGCCGTTTCCCCATGAGCCGTCTACCTCCACGTCTAAAAAAAAAA